GTTTTGTGGGTTTTTCTGCATCTCCCTCTCCAAACTTTTATATTCTAATTCCAATTTGTTTTGATTTTGTCTGTTCTGCCTATTCTTTTTCCCTAAGTATGTCATTGTGAGGTCTCTAATATATGCTTTACAGGTGTCCCATACATTCTGTAATGATGTGTCTTCCTTTCTATTTTCCTGGAAGAAATACGTCAGTTCTTTTCCCATATATTGCTGGAAACTTTTTTTATTCAATACTCTTGCATTTAAAGTCAGTTTCAGTTTCGCTTTATTTATATGCCGCCCTTTTCCCTGGGGGGACTCATCCAGGGGAGTCTATCTCCCCTTTTTCCTCTGTCCCTTCCAAGTCATCACTATTGGATTATGATCAGCCCATATGGTTATGTCTATGTCTATCTTGAATGTTTTGAGTATTAACTCTGTTGACATCCAAATCATATCTATTCTTGACCAAGATTAAGTATCTGTTTGAGTAGAAAGTATATTATCTTTCTTTTGGGTGTCTTGTTCTCCAAACATCTTGCAAATGTAATACTTCTGCCATCGTGAAAAATGTTTTGGGTAGGGTTTTTCTTGGCTTCTTGTTCATCTTTGTGGATTTATGGTCTATTCCATTATTTACAATTGTACTGAAGTCTCCTAGCGTACTGTACATATATCTTCATATTCATATTGTATTATATTTTTGTGTAGTTTTCCAAAAAATTCTTCTTGTTTATCATTTGGAGCATATATTGCCACTAATAATATCTTTCTCAAATTCATCATTATCTCCACCGTCAGTATTCTCCCCTCCCCTCCCAAAAATTATATCTGATTGAATTGTCTTTCTAATGTATAGTGCTACTCCCTTTTTATTTTGGTCGCCAGAGTTATGTATAAGTTACCTAGTTTTACCTGTTCCAAAAATTTCCTGTGTTTCTTTCTAATATGTACTTCCTGTAAGCATATAATGTCCAGTTTCAATTTCTCTAATTTGTTGAATATTCTTTTTCTTTTTATTGTTGAGTTTAGTCCATTTATATTTATATTTATTGAGATTACTTTTAATTCTTCCTCCATGTCATTGGTTTATAGGTTTAGTTGATCTAGTCATTCTTAGCTCCCTCTGCTCCTTTATCTCTTTGGCCCTTGCCTCTTCTCTTAACACTTTCTTTTCCTGTTCTTTCTCCATTTCCC